TTTAATATAATTGCGAAAAATAACAAGTTTTAGGATAATTTCTTTTTCAATAGATTGCTGATAGTATTTTGGAATCAATTCGCAATCCATTCTAGCTTTTATAAAATGAAGCCACCATAAGTGACTTAAATATTTCATGGTAATTATTTCACAGTTTAAAAACTCGTCAAAAATATCAAACAGTGAAACCTTTATCGGTCTTTGCAAGCGTATCATATTTTTGCAACAACAAAAGCAGTGTATAATCTCAACGCTGCATTGTCCTATAAGTTATAAATTCTAACTATGAGTGTAAGTGATGTGGTAGCGTATCATTTTCACTTCATCAAACAAGCTTTTCATCTTGCTATTTCCAGCATAATGCACACACACACACATACACAAATATACACATACAATGGCTGCTACTAACAAGCCCATCCACTCAGCTATTTATTCAGACGTTGCTAAATCTTTTTTGTGATACATTGTTGGAATTAATTACTCATGAGTTAAACATGCATATACTGTATAGATATGTATGTACGTTTCGCTGAAGAAATCCGTATCAATGAGTGGTGCTTCTAGTTCTGTGTGCTGGTGCCGTGTACCCTTGTAGCTGTAAATGGACTATAATTGGTAAGAATGAATAGACGATGATGTTTATTGATTAAAATTGGCTATCCGTAAAGACAATATAAATATGGTTTGCATAGATTGGAATAAATTATAGATTGAATTAAATTAACGGTCAGTGTAGGGCAAGTGTTTGTTTATTTTATAACACAAAGTCTGATAAGAAGATTTTCCCCAAATTAGGACAATTGATGAACATTTCACGGAAATTCAAGAGTTTGTCAAACCGACAGCTGATTATTGGTCCTAATGAGCTAGAGCATCAAATTCGTGATGAAATTATAGAAAAAAGTTCTGTAATGATTTGTCAATTAGCGCTAATTGCTATATTTTCGTAGAATATTTATCAAAATATTTAGTAAAAACAAAGATATGAAATTAACACCATTAGGTTTACGCGTTAAACATCAGATAGGAAATAATTGAAAGTTTGCATAAAAAAGCTATTTTTTCATAAACTAATATGAAATAGTTCAAGATTGACTTTTATACTTCATGACATTTTTATTATATCGCATGAAATGAATATGAAAATAAAAGTCACTCATACGCCCTGTCGCAGCTAAACCGGAAAGTGTTAAAGCTAATCACATTTGAGCTTTTAAATATGTAAATAAAAAAATATTATTTAAGTAATTAAACCGTTACGTAGCAAGGTACTGGATCAACCATTGATTATTATTAAATGAAGGTCATAACAAGTTTTTGTGTTTATACAAAAAAGTTACTTTTTCAAACAGGCTGGCAGTGCTTTGTTGACTATATCCACGAACCTTGAATAATTGTCAGCAATATAAATCGGATTGAAAGATATGTATATTTAAACATAAGCAACACTTGCATTTTTTGTTTGTTAATAAACTGATAATGAGTGAATTAMTGAAAAAACGGGGGTATGGTAGTGAGTAAACACTTGAGTAGTGAGTACAGATATTAAAAATCACTCATGCGACCTGTCGTACACGACAAGTTTTCCAACGACTCAGTTCTAAGTTTTAGCATGCACATTTATAAACTTATCATTGTAAAATTACTATAATACAATGAAAATATTTAAAAATGTTTGCATGCTTGAGTAAATACTTAAAATGGGCACCTCCTTGATGCAGTTTTGTAATTATAAAACATTAACAGARTTTAATTAAACATTTAGGTTGCCAAATATCTCTCTTCCGCCTYCTTGCTCTTTATTCAATGGTTTATGTGCGCTGTTTCGTTCATTAATCTGTTTCCATCTAGACGGCAACCTCAAAATATCYCGCTCGTAGAAGCCCCCCTCCTTATTTGCGAAGAACTGGGACAGCCACTTTTCACAAGCCTCTTTTGAGCTCAACTTTACACCAACAAGGGCGATCGCCATGGACAGGAACAGGTGGTAATCACTTGGCTATATCGTGGATGCGATAAAGCCTCCCATCAGAGCTCCCGTAGCTGCTGACGAGTCATCAACGAAGTGTGTGGTCTGGCGTTGTCCTGGTGGAACGCTACTTCCTTCCTGTTGGACAATTCTGGACGCTTCTGGTCGATCGCCTTCYTCAAGCGCTTCAGTTTTTCGCAGTAGATGGTAGAATTAAGCCTCGGGCCATATGGGAATAGCTCATAGTGGATGATTCCCTTCCAATCCCACCAAACACACAGCAAAACCATCCTGGCCGTCAATCCCGGCTTGACCACTGTTTGGGATCGTTTCGATTGATATTGTCGTATGTGATCCTTTTATCATCGCCAGTCACCATACTCTTCAAAAAGRGTTGGGTTCGTTCGTTTCAGCAGCATATCGCAGGAGCTGATTTRGTTCAGAAGTTTTTTTTTGTGTCAAATCATGCAGCACCCAAACATCAAGCTTTTTTGTGTATCCAACCGTCTACAGATGGTTTAAAATGATATGGTGACTAACTTCCACCTTCTGGGCGATGTCACGAGATGCCACATGCCGGTCTAACACGATGTTTTCCATGATTTGATCGGTATTCGTCGTCACAGGTCTTTCGGCGGGTRGCTTATCCATGGTGTCGTTTTCACCCGCTCTGAATCGTCGAAACCATTCGTTCGCAGTTCGAAGTGGCAGAGTACCGTCCCCCAAAACAACATTAATCTCACGGAACCTTTCTCTAGCGGATTTGTCTTTAACGAAGGAAAACTTTAAAATAGCGTGCATTTCGGCGTTAGTGAATTCCATGTTTACACGTCTATAACCGTTGAACGCAACATGCAAACTAATCATGCACAGCGTCGTTTTGTAGGTTATGTCAAGACCTTTCAAAGATATACAGTATTGCCAGATACGAGCTCTGTAGCGGTTTATACATACATACATAGGTGCGAAATTCAAAAGACAAAAAGGCGGATGGGAGATATTTGACATCCTAATAAATATATTGTTAATTTTAAACCCACCCTTAGCGGTTACTAAAAAATATTTTTAAACAATTCCAATCAATTCAATTTTTTTCTGAAAATACGAATATTAATTATTTCAATCCGCCATAAATTTCTTTACATTGGTTTACATTTTCTTAAACATGGATATTTTGCCTAACAAAACATTAATTCAGCGAGAATTTGTTAAAACAAGGCCTATTTGCCTTAAATAATTTGTGTAAATATTTTCCTGCTGCCAAATTTTATTAATGACACAAGTATTATATAATTAGCGGGTTGGCAGTATATTTCATGTTAAATAAAATCACACAAAAAAACATGATCTCAAGAATTATTTCAGTATATTAAATTTTTTATTAAATTCATTTTTTAAATTTAACGCATTTTTATGCCCTGAATAAGATTTGATAAGTTTGCCACGAAAGTTTTTAACATTGTAAAGTATATATGTATGTTTATGTATAGATACAGGTCGTGACGTCCAAGTTCTATAAAGGAAACTATTTTTTATTGACAACATAAAATTTGTTAAGAACTATTCTTAAAGGCACCGGTAAAACCCTCGAAGAAATTGTTCAGATCGGACAGTAGCATATATCTGCCATAGAAACTGAATGATCAAAATCAAGAAAAATAAATTTGTTTACACCTTTATATGTACTATCAAAATGCGCTTGTTAGGGAATTATAGCTTTGGAGCAGCCGAAGTTAACACCGTTTTTATTTTATTATATGCATAATAATCACATATATGCATTAACGTTATGTTAACTATTTAAAGAAAAGCTGACTGCTTTAACTGATCAATAAAATTATTTATTTCCATTTCTTACATGTGAGTTTAAAATAATAATATTATAAGTAATTCTAATATTCAGGAAGAAGAGAAAGAAAACCTAGAGAAAAAAGCTAGATTAAATAAAATATATCAAGTGTATTAAATATTAATGTATAAGTAATCAACAATCGAAAAAAAATTCACTAGAAATGAGTTGATAGAAATGAACTCACATTCACAAGGAAATATTAAATATATAGTATGTGACATTTCAGAGACATTAACTCATTG